CCCCCCCCACCACTGCAATTACTTGTAGAGCAGCATTCATCCTGGGAGAGGAAAGAGCAGCAGTGCAAGACAATCAGAATCTGCTGCAATGCACAGTGCTGCCAATCCAGGACAAGAGCTTGGAAACAGGAGTACAGGGAGTACCTCATAAGAAAGCTGCTGCTTCTTCATTATCCAATCACAGGCTGTGGGTGGTGTACAGACCAAGCTGTAATGCAATAACAGCAGTGGAGGAAAATGAGGCAAGAACCAAGCTATCTTTGAAAGGGCGAGTGAACCTCAAGAATGGCTCAACAGAATTACCAACCCTTCTGAAGTTAAAACTGTTCAAATACATACATTTCAATTATTATTATTAGTATTATGTATTCATCTGCCAACCAATTTCTGCGATATGTTAACATTTAAGTATATGTGCATTTTAAATATGATAAAAGAATTATTAAATACTTACCCATCTTGGAAAAACTGCTGCTCTGGTTCTGCTGGACCAATGATCTTAGAGTGGTGACAATTGGTGCTGCCTAAACTCTGATCCTACCATATGGCTGAGATGAAAGTGAGTACATTTTGTTATCTTGCTATATGAATATCACCAACATAGAAAGGAATATAAGGATCCCTGGTAAAAATTAAGCAGTTGTGACCTAACTCTACCTTTTTACACATCACTAAGCGGGGCACTTTTACTAACAAAGGTATACCGTACAAGTTCTCTTAGAAGCTTTCCTGCTGCTACAGTTCCTGCGTCTATGCCGCTACGAAGACAGACTGGCTCAATAAAACGAGGCCGAATTTCTCCCCTTACCTGGTTCTTATCCAGCTCACAGTTCTTGTACTCTTTCTCTCCCTGCTCTTGAAATGTGACAATAACGAAACCAACAAATATGTTCATCATGAAGAAAGCAATGATGATGATATAGATGATGAAGAAGATGGAAATCTCCACTCGGTTGTTGTAGATGGGCCCTACATTCTCCCCATTGGAATCAATGGCCTTGTACAGAAGTCTAAACAAGAAAGACACAAACACACAATAAGGCATGTGTAGAAATAGGTGCATATAAAATGTTGTAGTCCAGATAAAATCACCTTTTCTGTAGAGTTTAGCAGGAAAGGTGGCAGCTGGTGCTACTGCAACAATGAACATACAGGCTATGCATCACAATTATGTACTATACCGTACTTCAGTACAGTACTTTCAGTACAGGCTGTGTGATTACTACTGCAGCCATTGCTTGTCCACTGCACTATGACCAGAACATCCTGATTTCTACAGCCATCACTTCAGTTCCTGTGGTAACAGGTTACAGGGATGCCATAAGTGGTATTACACCTGCAGGGTGCCTTGCTATAACTATAAAGAAGGGGTCCCACCATTCAGTTGTAACATCATCTGTTACACAGGGAAGGTTGCTGTGGGTGGCCAGCTAGATGAGCAGAGCCACTGAAAAGTCAGAGGGAAGTTTTCAGGTCTCAGTATGACATTTCTTTAGGTAATCAGGCTAGATTCACACCTTTGCATTTTTGCTTATTGTGTTTGGCCTTGAAATCAATAGAAATGCATCAAAACACTTGTTTGCACTTGGCATTTGTGGGCCACACAGTGGCATAGTGGTTAGCATGTATGTCTTACAGCACTAAGGGCCCGGGGTTCAAATCCTGGTCACCCTATCTGCAAGGAGTGTACATGTTCTCCCAGGGTTTTTGTAGGTACTCTGGTTTCCTCCCACACTTAAAGACATGGAAGGTTAATTGGCTCCTGTCTAAATCAGCCCATGTGAGATATGGCCCTCAAAATGTAAGCTCCTAGAGGTTAGGGGCTGATGTGAATGTGCAACTATGTAAAGTGCTGTGTAAATTGTTGTCACTATATAAATACCTGTAATAAATAATCAATGTGTTAAGACAGGTGTCAATGTGCATGATGATGCACATTGATGGTACATGTAACCCCATTAATGCACTTTTTGGAGAGTTGACATGCAGTGATGAGTTAAATGCATCATGGGGGGGGGGGGGGGGGGGGGGGGGGATAGGGAGAGCGCTGCCAGCCAGCTCCCGCGACCCCATCCCAGTCGGTGCGGGTCGGTTTGGTGTGACCTGGATTAAAGCGTCAATAGTTGTCGATCGAAAGACGGAGGTAGGAAGTGTGTGACCCAGGGGTCCCAGATTTGTTCGAATTTGGGCATGCAGTCCAATATGCGGGCCGAAAAGGGCAGGGGGAGGCATAGGTGTGAATCCAGCAGAAAGAGATTCTAGTAACTCTTCAATTGATTCAGACAATTTAACACTTCATTGTCAAGGATCATGTATCTAGCAATCTGAACGTTACAGTTTATTTAAATTGCAGATTAGCATACATGTTTATACAAAAGCTCAAAATTGTTGGCTTCACAAAGCTCATTGTTTTTGAGCTTCTGAAAATGTAAGAACAAAACAAGCTACATGGTGTTATTTGTTGGGTACAATAAAATATAATGGGCTCAAACATCAAGTAAAAAGAGGCATCATTATCCCTGGCAGCCAACCTGATATTTCTATTCTGAAAGATAAGCAATAAAAATCAAACACATGATAATTATTTTTAATTTAATCTTGAATATATAAGAGCCAGTTCCTTTCTCTCCTGACAGCGCCTTCCGTCCAGTGAACTGAAAATTGTATGCACACAGGAGGGGGGAAATGCTGACTTTGTAGATATGCTGGTAGATAAAAAATACATCCAATCATTCAAAATTGCAATTGAAAGCTGAAAAGAGGAATAATTAGTCTACATACGAAGGCCATCCCTCAAAGGTGGAGACTGTGAATAGTGCCATCATGGCGGAAAGCACGTTGTCAAAATTGAAGTCACTATTGTGCCAGTGTCTCTCCCGAATTGAGGGGCTGTTGACATCTCCTTCTTTGTAGATAATATATTTTCCCCTGTGAGAAAAAGTGTCAATGATAGATCTTAAAACTACAGTATTTTATAGACTGAATCTTGGCATACTTGTTGTATACAGTGGTGACATACTGTATATTCTACAGAGCAATATATCAAAATTCAGGAATACCAAAGAGACCAAAGCAAAACAATTTTCAGACTATACTGAATTTGCAATATGCACACATTTTGCGTTACTATAATGTTTCCACACAGTTTTTGATGTCACTTTTAAAGCAAATCTTTACCCATGTCTTTAAAAAAAACAAACACACATTTAGTAATGTGTAGTAATGACAATCTAAAACACATAGTCCTAGATAATTGCAGGCAGGGCCGGATTCCCCACCAGGCCACCGAGGCGTGGCCTCGGGGCGGCAGGGAACAGAGGGGTTGGCAGCCGTGGCCATGTTTACTAAGGGCAGATTACTAGCTCTCCTATTGCTTCCTACATTTCTGGCACATGTAACTAAACATGTGACTAGGACATGTGATCATGCACATCATCTCAGGGGAGGAAAATGCCTTTCCCTGAGATCTCATGAGATGACAGATGAGATTTCCCAGCAATGCTCTGCTGATGACAAGGCAAGCCCAGTGTGCGTTGCTTTGGCAAACTGAAGTCATCTTGCCCTTTCAAGCAGGAAGTGAATGCTCTGCAAGTGTAAGTATTTCAAAATCACAGCATTTTACACCTGACATGTCTATGTTATTATTAATCATCATACATAGAGAGGTGCATTGGTAGAATTTTATTTTTGAGTGTAAAGGTCCGCTTGTTTGCCTTAAAATGTGGCCAGCTGTATTCACTGCAGTCAGCCTCCCTGATTAATAACCATTAACATAAAATCTCAGTTCACATAGTGCCTTCTTCAGACTGACTGGTAGGCATGCCCTGAGAAAGAACAAGGAAACCCAGTCCTTATGCATACTACTAGGCAGGAAGCAGAGCCTGCCTATGGAATAAACAAGCATATAAAATATTAATATAATTATTTGCATTCATATATCTAAAATATAATTTAAAAGTCTATAGTTTCTCTTTAAAATACTTCACATAATAACAAGTGAGGTCTGAACTCAAAAGCCAATCAACAGATTACTAACTGATATTCCATTAACCGTGTTAACCCTTAGTATACTAAAATAAGATGATGTCATTTCTTTTTAAGCCAATGATGTTCACTCACTTCAAATGATATCTCAGGCAGAAGGTAATGCAGGAAGAGATTAAGAATTGGGCAGGAGAAGAGTGCAGGGAATGGGCTGACCACTGCAGCTATCTGATAGGGAAAGAGTGTGTGCGTGTGTGTGTCTGTGTGTCCAAAGGGACTGCCAAAGAACTGAGGAGCATAGAGGAGGCTTTCTGGCTAATCAAAAAATCACAGCCATCTTATAGTATCTTAAAAAACCCTTTGTAACTCCAAAACTCCCAAAGACTGGATAGTTACCTTATTAACACTGAAAGTAACCTAAATAAATAGTCATAAAATAATGAGATTTTATAGTAGAGTTAAAAATAACTGCAGATACTTACTTGCACTCTTCTGGTGTCTGTTTTGCTTCATCAGTACATCGATAAAATTTGCCCTAATTTTGAATGAAGAAATTATACTTGTTCAGCGTTAAATCTGTTTGTACATTCTATATGAATATCTTGGCATGCTATACAGTATAATATCCATTTATATTAAAAGGCTGATTTGTTCGTAGGTGTTATGACACTTTACACTGCAGGGCCACCCACGGCGCTGCAGAATTCAGCAGGAATTGGGTGACATTCAAGCTGTCTATAGCCAGCATAAGTCCTAGTTTGAAGAGTGGAGTCCTAACAAATGCTACTGTAGGTTCATGTTTTAAGTTGACAGGTTATGGTAATTTTTTAGATTGTAAGCCCTCACGGACAGGGTCCTCCTTAGCATCTTGTCTTGAATTGTATTGTGATTGTAATGTCTTCCTTATATTGTAAAGCGCAGCGCAAACTGTTGGCAATTTATAAATCCTGTATAATAATAATAATAATGTCCACTTAAGGGACCCAGGCAAATGTCTGCCAGAACTGGTCATTCAGAACCTCCAGCAACAGCCTATGGAGCAGCCCCTAGACTCAAGCAGAAAAAGAGCAGCATGACAAAATATATATGAGTGAAAAGAAAAGCACTGGTATAGTATCAAACTGCATATAGATTGCACCAGCCCAACCAAATGTCTTCCCCAGGTCATACTCTCCACCCCAGCAGAGATATTTGCTCCGCTATGTTCTACCAGTGCTGGACTGAACTCAAACAAAACACGTGATCAAAAATTCTGGTGTTTCAATGCTTCATGGTAAAAGAACCTTCACATTTCAATTTTAGACTGGATAAATAGAAAAACTGCCGCATTGAAAGGGTTATATTCGCAAATACAGACTACTCACCAATCTCATTCATCAGATGACTTACCTTAAATAGCTGAACCCCAATGCAGGCAAACATGAACTGCAGTAGTGTTGTAACGATCATAATGTTACCAATGGTTCGGATGGCGACAAACACACACTGAACAACATGCTGAAACGGCAGGAAAGTGTAATACCTAAATAAATACTGTATATATACCAACAATACACTGGGGTTGGTTTACTAAAGGCAAATAGGTTGTTCACTTTGCAAGGGAAGTTTCCTGTTTCTGGGTGGTGCTGAAGCTCTGCTGTGGTGGTGAAGCTCTGCTGACTTTCATCATCCAATCATATTACTAGCAACATACAGTTTTTTTGTACTGCACTTTCCTTGCATGTGATTGGGTATTATTTACAAAGTTAATTTTCACCACATTCACTAAGCTAAGCAAAGTAAGCAGCCTATTTGTCTTTATTAAATCAACCCCAATGTCTTAAAAGTTACAGAATTATTATTTCTGGATAAGCAAAACTTTGCACATTCAGTTTCAAAACTGCAAATAAATGAACACACAATAAAACAAGCAATACAAAGTCATACCTATAGACTATTGTCTACATTGTCTATAGGTATGACTTTGTATTGCTTGTTTTATTGTGTGTAATGTATTTATTTGGGTAACAATGCTGCTCCTCCCTACGGTAGATACAGTACAGTGAGTAAGTATTGCCATTCTAATACAGGAAGTGTATTACTCATAGGATCAACAGGTGAATATAAAGGACACAAGCCTGAAGAAAAAAAACTAATGCAGCCACCACAAGTCATGGTAAGCTGCAATATATTAATTTGTTGTTCTTGGGTTTGCATCAGCTTTAAGTTTGACCCTTCAACCAGTTTTGTGAGAGTGTATTCATCATGCAGTGTACACAATAGACACACTCTTGCTCCCTTGAATTGTATTGTTTTAGTATACCATTGTTTACCAAGTTCTCCCAAAATAAAAAAAAATAATGGTCCAACTTCCTCCACTGAAAATCAGTTTTCCCAGTGTGCTGCAGTACTCATGCAGCGGAGAGGCGCCTTGAATACTGATTAATAGGACCAATAAACTTCTCCTAAAATTATATGTAGAGTGTAAGAGCCATAATCCTTTTATGAGGCACATATTTTTTTATGCTCCTCTCATTGATTCCCCTCCGCATCATCTCTAAATTGCGGACAGCAAATTAAATAGATATTTCAACTAATTCCCCACAGTAGCTCAGAATTAACAACACAAATCAAAAGCAGAAGAAACATACCTTCAGCCCTTTAGCTCTGTTGATTGCTCTCAAAGGTCTGAGCACTCTCAATACTCTCAGGATTTTCACTACAGATATAGCACTTGACCTATAGAAATAAAGGCAGCGTATGTATGGTTCAAGACTTTGCAAAGTAAAATATATTACTACCAACTTTACTGATACTACAACAGGGACAATAAAAGAGATGTATAATCTAACATGGGGTTTGTATTAACTCTCTCTCTGACTCATCCTACATATCCTATAAACAGTGGTTCTCAATCTCTATAACCTCAGGACCCACATTTTTCCTTCTCATTACGTCACGACACAAGTTGCACCATACTGGAATGCAAGGTATTGCGGTACTGCATGTCCCAGGGCGTGCAATCAAACTGTGGGCGGGAGGTGTGTTTGGGGTGCCATTTTTATATAGTGTGGATTAAATGAAGTTTTATAAACCTTGAAATGTGTGCTTCAGATCATTCTTCTTTGAATGTTAGAAGAAGGAATGCCTGTAAACTTATGGACGGGAAGGCTTAGTATTGGCCAACCCACCACAAGGATTAAGGAATGGAACTGGTCATATGAAAAATGTGTAAAATAATCTACCAAGATGCAGTGCTACCTTAAAGTGGCCCTTAATCTCATCACCATTGTATCTACTTGTCCAGGAATAAGCGAAGTTCTCTATATTAGCAATAATTAATTATGGTAGGACTTTTTGTCATGGTGGACATGAAACAAACCAGAGGCTCAGTCATGTCCCTTTTCCACTTGGATTTATAATAAATTTAAACTCTGACTATCACAAAGTTTAATGCCGCCCCAAGAGTATTGCTTCGCTATACCACTGTGTCCAAAACAATTACTGACAACAAAATGCAAAAAACATTGAATAAAAGATTACAATTTCTTAAAAATCTTTATATACAAGATACTTACTGAATACCAAAAGAAACCAGAGAAACTCCAACAACCAGCAGGTCCAATAAGTTAAAATAGTTTCTGCAGAAAGAACCTTTGTGTAGAAATGCTCCAAATGTCAACATCTACAATATCAGGAAAAAGATTAATACACTCCAAAATACAAAGATCAAATGATCGCAAACCAATTCAGAGACATCATACATATAATGACATCAGACTCAACATATAGCGGGCTGACAGGATGCACGTGTGACTGCTGTAACTAGAAGATCAACACTTTACATAGCCAGTGATATTTCTCACTGTGAAATGTAAGATAAACTGCTTGATAACTTCACTAACAGCATTCACAGGAAAGGAGTGAGCGTTTTTCTATATGGTGATTAAAGTGACACTAAACTCAGGCGTTAAATCTTAAAAATGCATTCCAGTATCCCAACTATTAACAAAGATGTATCTTATTTGTGTATCACTCGGCTGTAGATCCTCAAATCATCTCTGAATTGGTGCTGACACTGTCCTTCCTTCTGGAGGGTGGCTACTTTTTTTCCCCATGGTCCCTGCGTGTGTTGTAAAGTAGGTACCACTCCAAGATCGCGCCTGTGATGGACTACAATCTCACGTTTAGTTTACTAAATTGTATTGAGATTGTAGTCCATCACAGGAGCGAGCTTGGAGGGGTTGACTACTTTACAACACGCACAGGGACCATGGGGAACAAAAGTAGCCACCCTCCAGAAGGAAGGACAGTGTCAGCACCAATTCAGAGATGATTTGAGGATCTACAGCTGAGTAATACACAAATAAAATACTTTTTTGTTAATAGTTAGGGTACTTGAATTCATATTTTACGATTTAACTCCTGAGTTCAGTGTCACTTTAAGGAATCCTACTCAAGAAAGCTTTTAACAGAACCATCAGCTTTATCAGCTTTGTTTACAGCCTCCAGACAAAATGTGCAAAAGCAACCACCATAGAAACAATTGTCCATATTGTAGTGGGTGCAATGGTCAGCTAAGCACCAGGTGCACCTAGACTTGAGCATATAGGGTCTGTAGGGTAAACTTTCTTTTACAGTGGATGCTTTAACACGTCTTGCGATGGTTGTAAGGTGTGTGCCCAGCATTAGTGTGAGTCTCCACCTTTTATAATAAACAATCTAGTTAAATAATAATCATTTTATTTCACATGACCAAGTGTGAGGCCACATGGCTGAACTATATCTATAAGGCCTATAAAGTGCAGACAGCAAAAGTAATGTACAAAGTGTAGTGACCCATTAGAATACAATTTAAATCATCTGATTTAAAAAAATGATCTGATTGGTTGCTGCATGTTACTGCATATAATTGCTGAGTCCAAACAACAGTAAGGTCTTGTCTATAGTGGCTAATCAGAGGCAGCTCTGATTTTAAACTACACTAGACATACGATGGATTGCTATGGGTATCACCTCCATTATCTTGCAGTTTAGAGGGGATTTTTTTTAAATATATATATATAAGTTCCTTTGTGTCTTCTTATGTGTGAGATCATCACTCCATGAGATCTATGGACTTATACTGAACCACATAAGAAGTGTAGCTTACAGACAGTGTGCAGAAACAGAAAGGCAAAAACAGGAATGCACACTGGATTCGCCACTCCAAAAAAGAGCCCAGGCAGCAACTTGTGCAGTGTCATACAACAGAGAAAGCTCATGCGATCCAGCAGTATATCAAACGATGAGGTCATTGCTAGCACCTTGTGTGCACACTCCATGTCAGTATAACACCAGCCCCTCCATGCAATTTACACATTTCCACCAAATTCACAGGATGTTGGCACTTACAATTTTTCAGAATATGAGCAGGCTGCCAGTGAGGAGGTAACACTCAGGGCAGATCTCCTTTTTCTCTGCGTTCTGTCCCTTCCTCCACCAACTCCCAACCACTCCAGACACCATCATTTTTGCCACTCGGTCAGCTGCCCCAGGAAAGCCATCATCAGATACTCAGAGGGATACACTTACACTTCCCGCTTAGGGGCTGCTGGGCCAATTTTTCAATGGCACAAACACCAGCAAGTCCCCCCAAAAATAACCACTGAAGAACTATGGCTGAAAACAATAGTAAAGGAGACCACTAGAGAGTAGTGCCTAGGGCCCAAGAGTGTCAACATTCAGCCCCTGAACAATAAAAGATTAATTTGGGTGCACAGACCCATTTATTAGAAGCATTCATGATGATCTGTAGCCCTTGAGCAATTAAGAAGGGTATGGGCCTACTGGGACTTGGAATTTCTCAAATTACCTATGACCACCCTAAGAAAATTAACACTTCTATGCATGATAGGACAGGGGACACTACTGTCATTTAGAAACAGGGCAAGGATATGGGACATTTGAATTCAAGCAATAACCTATGGAAGAGTGGCATAGTGAGATCCATAGATCCTGTTCTGGTAAGTTGCAGATTTGGTGGAAATGTTCTGCTGTTGAGTTAGATGCAGCCAAACAGTGTATAACTCCAGAAACACATTATTTTCCGTCAAAGGACAAAATGCCTCTTGGCTTGTATTGTGCAGAATAAACACACTCCATTCAAACAAAACCCACACAGAAAATAGTACTTAAATCAACAGTACAAGAAGCATTGTCTGCAACAATTAATTAATCTGCTGAATTGTCCTTGTTATCCTTGTGCAGATGTTTACAGTGAGCTATTTTTAGAAATGATCTACAGCACTGGTAAAGTAAATTATGATGAGGCGACATTATACCATTTTAGCCTGTCTTACAGTATAATATGTTTGTTCTGTATTAAGAGAAGCATTAGCCCATTAACTATTAAAAAAAACGGTTACAACTGGGCTTATGCAAGAACCTGAATATTAATTTGTAAATTATTATAACTGTGCAGGCCGACTTATGAAAGGTGTACATTCCTCCATAGTTAGATTTAGTCTTTGAGTGTGACTCCACATTGAATAGTCAGAGGTCACTTGAAATCTGACAGCTGCTGCCCTAACCAGGGGGTGTAACTGCAAATTATGGGGCCCCATAGCAAAAGTTTAGGGCTCCCTGGCTAACTCTCTCTGTAGTGGCTGACAGTGTCAACATGTGATCTTAACATGAAGTATGTATCAAGGACAGGCTACAGGACAGCTTCTATCATAGTCCGCACACCACTAGGGAGCAGTGCTGGGGTCTGGGGATAAAAGTTATAATAATCAAAACCATAATGATATTTTATGTATTATGATTATTATTATGATTATTATTATCAATTAATGGTCTTGTACACACTTACTCTTCTACTCTAATACAAACTTCTATAAAGTCTAGCTTCATTAAACTTTTATGTAGAAACACAAACCTAAGCCCTGCTAAAAGGTTTTACTGGAGGTGCAACTCTGCGATTTGTGATTGCATTAGGCAAACAAGCCGCTTCACACCTAATCCAGTGCATTCCAGCACGGTTAGTCAATGGATTTAACTTCAACCAATTCAGCAGAAAATGGGCAACATTTTATACAGTGTCAGCACCAATTCAGAGATGATTTGAGGATCTACAGCCGAGTGATACACAAAGTTTTATTTTTGTTAAAGGAGAACTATGGGGTTAAGGCTTTTCCCCATAGTTCTCCTTAGGGTAACGGGAGGACACAAACTGGCGTCCTCCCGTCACCCTAAGCTCAGTATACTGAGACGCCGCAGCTGAAGTGGATCCCGACAATTATGTCTGGATCCGCCCAGCTGCGTGAGTGACAGCTGGCTCTGCCTATCTAGAAGCAGAGCCAGCTGTACCCGCCCCCTCCCCTGTCTGATCCGCCAGTCAGCGCTGGCGGATCGGAGCGGGGAGGGTGGAATCCAGTCCCTCCCCTGTCACGGCAGAGAGCTGTGACAGGATCGAGAGGTGAGCGAACGCCGGTATGTGTTCGCTCACCTCCCGATCTACTGAGCCGACCTGTGACAGTCTCATTGTCACAGGTCGGCTAGAACTATGAGGTGAGTGAAAAGCACTCACCTCATAGTTCTCCTTTAATAGTTAAGGTACTTGAATGCATTTCCTGAGTTTAGCGTCACTTTAAATCTACACAATTAAAATAGTTTCAAAACTTTGATTTAATAATGTATAACTGAATAATACATTTTTGGATTAGTTGTGTTTTTTTTGTTTTTTTTAGAAGGCAGATTTATTACAATTTTACTGTGTTGCTTTTGTTGCTTTCTTAAAAGGTTACTCTTTTCCCTTTCCCTACTAAAAGATCCATGAGATCAGACTGCCAATAGATAATCTCAGCAGACACCCACAACCAATTACTGCTGGAGAAAACATCTGTTGGCCTAATTGTAATACTTATCTGACAGACTTTGGTCCCCCAAGAAATTGGAAATTAGTTATCTGATTTCTAATATTTATGGCAATCATAAAGGAAACCTGTCAATGGAGGCCACCATCACTGACCTTCTTCTGAAAACATTTCCAGGGTTATTTATAAAAGGGTGAAGAGTTTGGAGAAGGCAGGAGAAGTGAACAATCTAGGACAACATAGCTGATTTGGAAACATTCTCCAATTCAGCTCACTTTCCAGCTCAGCGATGTTGTCCTAGATTGTTCACTTCTCCTGCCTTCTCCAAACTCTTCACCCTTTTATAAATAACCCTCTAGCTGTCAAGCTGAATCTCTGTGCCCCCATTGGTGAGATCTCCCATTACTTCCTTTCCTGTCAAGACTTCTGGTCCTGACAGGAAAAAAAGGAGACATCTCCCCACTGAAGACAAAGACAGCAGAAAAAAAATCTGATAGCGACTCTAACCCTTCCCTGCTCTATCCAAAATATAAAATAAAAATTTTGGGCAAAAGAAACATGAGTCGGTGCAAACTAGATATCTTTACAAAAATGGATAGTGATGGCTATTATTTTAACAATTTCTAAAAAGATTTAAATGATTTTGAACATTGTAATAAGCATGCTATACATAGACATAATACCGCTGACCAGTATATGTGCAATGTGTTGTTAAAAATAATTGTACTGCTGTTTTAAATATAATTTTCACACAAACCAGGTTACCTTTAAAATGATTTCAAATGTAAACATACTAGTGAAGACATAATCTGCATATCCTAGCACCTGGGGGTACAGAAGAGTTATATGTTATCATAGACTTCATTCTGAACATCAAGAAAGAACATGATTTTACCTTTAGGAAGATTTCAACTGTAAAGATTCCTGTGAAAGCATAGTCAAAGTAACCAAGAATCTGCAAGGTACAAGAGCACAGTGAGTAATCTGCTCAAAGACAAGCTGAGAGTGGATCACTGCCTTTGCTGGGGATAAGTAAGAAAGCTTGACATGAAGTTTAATAGGAATTGATCAGTTTTTTTTTTTTGTCATAATGGCTTTAAGCCTACCTTCAGGGAATGAAAACACCCATTGCAGTTGGGCTACCCCAATAGTAAAAGGGTTAACTGCTCATTCATGTCTAGGGAAGATGTGTAAAGGACTTTTACTTACCTGATTTGAGAATCTGCTTCTCTTATAAGAACAACCCCACACCCACTGATATTCATCTCCCAGCTTACACTCATCCTCCTCTAAATTACTTTGCCCATGAAAAATGTCTGATCCTTTTGGGTACGTTGAAGCATGAAACCTCCTCCCAGGATGCAGTGGCTAACCCTTAGTGGCCATCACCAGTCCCAAACACTGTCATGTGAGAAGGAGGAAACGGTCAACCATGTACATCATGGTTCATCATATTCATCATATCTACCTGTCTTTTTACCTGTCTTCCCTAGTTCCCATTGCATGAGTTAGGCCAACAGAGATGTTGGAATGGGTCTGTTTATAGTAGAAATATATTCACAGAAAATAGAAAACTCCATCCCCAACTATTGTTTAGCAAAGGTCTATCTAACCAACTGTTTTAGTAACATTTAAAAGCTACTACTGCTCTAAGTAAGTACAGCTTTGTTTGGTGCTAAATCTCCCAATCTCAGACACCACATACTTTTTATGGTTCTGATTGTGCTCTTTGGCAGGGGTGCGTGAATCACAAGAGTGGCTATAGAGAATTACAAATTGTTTGGCAGGTAAAATCGTTTACATATATGTATTTCAGCTGTGTATTTATCTGTGTGCCTGGAGTTCAGCTTTAAGTACCTAACTCATTTGTCCAAACGATTACTGCTCTGACTTTGTATATGGCAGTTGTCCCCTGTGGTGTTATATAACAAAGGTCAGACAAGCTATTTCTGACAAAATCAAACCAGAATCCAGAGTACTTAGTGTAGCAGCAGGAGAAGGCTCAGTGCGCCTCCTAAATTAATTGGTAATAAAGTCTAGCACACCACCAGGACTGTGAGCTGTGCGGGACACATAGATTTAGACTTGCTAATGTGCACCAAGTGAGTTTCCTGACTGTACACTAACTCGGCCCTGCAAAAGGTCAGCCACGGCCCGCCAACATGTTTCACTGTTTTATTGCTAACATTAAAAATTGCAAAAGGACAGCACATATGTGAGAAAGAATCCAATACAATTAAGGTCTAGTGTAAACACGCTCTGGATATTAAAGTGAACCTGTAAACCATTTTAAAGGGTGGCAGGAAAGCATCTTTTGTGTCCTTTCCTGATTTAGTTGCACTACTAGGACCTGGCTTTCCCTGAATTTACGGCTAAGCTCTACCAAACTCCATCCCTGAACACCCTTACAGGTTACATACAGGATGAGTCAGTGCTCATGAGTTACGGGTGTGTACGTTTCCAGTTGAGTTATTGAGTTCTGGATACAACAGACTTTTTTCACTGTCTGAGGAATGGAAAAAGAAGACTAAAGCCGGGTATACATGCTTATAATGACCGACTTCTGTCAAGTCATAGGGTCATCAATGCAGTATATTTTGACTTATTCCTACTCAATAGGCCAAAATTCGTTGCATTTATGCCAGCTTAAGGCCTCGTTCACATCAGACACAGTGCGTTCCGGGCTGATTCTGGCCAGAATGCACTGCATCGCACAGTGCAGTGCATTCACAGTATGCTGTGGGGCAGGAGGAGGCGTGGCGGTTCAATGCAATCGGGCGCACGGGAACGCAAGGCACATTATGCCTGCAGTCCGGTCAAAATGCTGCAAGCACTTTTTTGTTTGGACTGGACCGCAGGCATAATGTGCCTTGTGTTCCCGTGCAGCCGATCGGATTGCGGCCTGAGGGCGTGGCTACGGTGCCATTCACTTCAATGGACCGCCACACCCCCTCCGGCCCCCCAACATACTGAGCCGGCCTCAATGCGATACAGTGCGTTCTCGCCAGAATTGAGCCGGGACGCACTGTGTCTGGTGTGAATGAGGCCTAAATCTCCACCTGCTGCCTTTAAAGCAGCATGAAAAATACAAATAAGCTTTATTCATATTTATTTGACTTAAAGCAAGAGAAAAAAATAGGATTTTTGTACTCACCGTAAAATCCTTTTCTCTCCGTTCATTGAAGGACAAGTGCCAGAATCGGGGCTAGCACCTTGGTGAACACACCTGGGGCCGACGCCAGCCCGAAGGGCAGCGCCACAAACTGAAAGTGGTCCTCCCCCACCGCGAAACGAAGATACCGCTGATGAGACTCGCAAATAGGTACATGAAGGCATGCATCCCGGATATCGATGGAGGCCAGCAGATCCCCCTGACGGAGCCATGCCACCACGGACCGGATGGACTCCATTCGGAACCGACGGACCCGCACGAAGGCTTTCAAGCGTTTGAGGTCCAGGATGGGTCGCACCCCCTCTTTCTTGGGCACATTAAACAGGTTCGAATAAAACACTTTGAATCTTTCCGTGGAGAGAACAGGCACAATCACCCCCTGGGACCAAAGGTCCGCAACCGCGCGATGGAGATCCGCTAACCGCGAAGGGGATAGTCGCGTGTTGGACGGGAAGAAAATTTTTATTTTATTTTTTGAATCCTCGCAATAATGAATGAAGAAAATCACCACCATAAATTCCCTTCAAAGTGACGTATAGCCATGTTGACCAATAGGGAGGCTAGGGAGGTAAAAGCTCAACTTTCACAGAAAAAAAGTAAAAATTGCATTAATAAGAAACTGCAAAGTGTTTAAACAATTTTAACAAATACCTAACTCAAATTGGTTGTGCTTTTTGTGACATAGGGGATGAATTATAAAACTTTCACCCGGTCATACCTGTACCCGGGTAGCACACTGGCGTAGTGGTTAGCACTTCTGCCTTGCAGTGCTGGGATCCCTGGTTAAAATCTCAGCCAGGTTACTATCTGCAAGGAGTTGTTTTGTTCTCCCTGTGCTTGCGTGGGTTTCCTCCGGGTACTCCAGTTTCCTCCCACAATCCACAGACATGCTGGTAAGTTAAATGGCTCCTGTCTAAATTGTCCCTCATAAGTATGCATGTGAGATAGGGACCTTAGATTGTAAACTCCTTGATGGCAGGGACTGATGTGAATGTGAAGCTATGTAAAGTGCTGTGTAAATTGTTGGCGCTATATAAATACCTATCATAAATAAATATGTTGGGCGAATCCCCTTCACACAGAATTCCCACCACTAAATGGAGACAAGGAGGCTCAATCTAGTGGTGCGAATGCCATGTGCACGGAATTCACCCAGCATATGGTTGGGTAGAAGTTTTTTAAAATTTAAGATTCAGACTCCGCAGGCAGACTGACAATTGACTGACAGCCAAATACTAAACCTGATACTTTCAAACTGGGGAGTTTATGACAGGTTGTTGAAAAGGGTTATTAATGTTAAATTCACATTTGCTGTGAACAGTCTTTTGTTCTTTAAAGTGACATTAAACCCTCAGATTTTTTAACATAAACCAATACTGTAATGTGTGCCTTACTGTAATCCATGGTTGTTTCCCTTCTCTTTGCTGCTCTTCCTTTTAAATCTGTATCTGTTCACATGCTGGGCAGAACTTCTGTTTTGCAGCAGACTGCCTTGTCTCTGAAATGGATGCATGGTGTCTGTGTGTAGGTTTGCAACCTGAGCCAGCATTAGAGGAAGAGGCACTCAGCTGCAAAGGGAAGTTATCCCCCAGCATGAGAAGACATGAGGATTTAAAAGGAAGAGCAGCAAAGAGAAGGGAAACAACCATGGATTACAGTAAGGCGCACTTTACAGTATTGATTTATGTTAAAAATTTGAGGGTTTAATGTCACTTTAAGGTTATTAAGAGACATTTTGGGCTATGAGAAGCTTAAAAGAAATATCTACAATATCTTTAATTGACATTTCTGTTCAGGATTTTAGGTGTGTTCATAAAGATCTCTCATTTGCTAAATGTAAATCTCAAAGATCAATCTGCCAAAACTGGTATTTTAGTATTCAGTAGATGTTGGAGAAATATACCACCTGACGGTTTCCTAAATCTTTCAGGGCTAAAAAAAAACATTTGCAATGCTGTGCATTGCAGTGCTCTTCATTTGGATGTTGCCATATGTGTTGGGGTGCCATTTAAAATGAAGGCACTCCAATGCATAAGGCAACACAGCTCTAATGTACATGTGTTGCAGCACACCACGATGCACAGTAACACACTATCCTGCCTGGTGGTGCGCTGAGGTTAAAACAATTCTGCATGCCTGTTTTTGTGCATTGGCAGCTCATTCAAAGTGGACAAGTTGCACACTGACGCATGCGTTAATACAATGCACAAATGCAGCAAAATGTGAATGTTAAGAAATTGGGTTCCATCTCCCTCTTTGTTGAATTATTATTTATTTTACAGTATGAAGAATACAACAGGAGGAGCAGTAACACACGAAGGTGGAGGACAATATCCACAACTCCCATGTGGACAGAGGTAAGGAAATTATGGCAGAGAAGTCTCACCATTAAAGTAGTCAACTAAAACACCACTTTTGAATGGGGTGACCTATCAATTATCTCCAGCTCTGATGAGATCCTGAAACCTATAGTAATATCTCTAGGCATTATCCTTTACACCTTTGTACTTAATCAGTTGTAATTGTAATTTATAATGCCTTCAATGATACATAGAAGTTAAATAATAAATTGTAAACCATATTGTAAGCAATGAATTGGGTGAACATAACAATACTTACTATATTACGGAAGGAATGACTGCGAATGGGATCTTCGGCTGCTAGTGAAGCGCTGCTGAGCATGATGAACACCAGGATGAGGTTGGTGAAGATGTGATGGTTTATAAGCTTGTGGCAGCCCACACGAAACCTAAATAACAAATATACATGTGAATTTTTCCAGCGGGAACACCTCTGCTCTCAAGTTCCCCATGTCCTAGACCTAGACTAAAAAAAAAAAAACCTCCCAATCACAGATCAACAAGCAATAACACACCAGTATCTAGAGTCCTAGACTTAACGTGACACTTTATCAAATTGCAATATGCACTGTCACCCTTTTCCTGATCTTTCTATTTATATAGGGATGAGCCGAGGTCCAGACCCAACCAGCAACATGGTAGTGCCACAGGTTACCCACCCCATCAGTTGCGGCTAGGAAACCCCCACCCACAGCTGCACGTAAGCAAAGGCATGGAATGCAGTGATGTAATTGACCTTATTTGACGACATATGGCCATATAAGGGCAATGACATCAGCATAAACATCCCGCCCCTTTGTTTATGTGTAGCTGCAGGGCGGGAAATGTCCCAGCCTGCAGTTGATTGGGTGGGTGGCCCATGGCACTTCTATGTTCAGAGGAGCTTGATACGCACTGGGTTCAGTCCAAACCCAAGCTCATCTCTATATTTATACCCAGAAAATAGACAGATTGATAAGCATGGAGATCTATTTACGGATTGGTATTGCTGAATATAAAGAAGGCGCTCCCTTCTGGAATGGGGGTTATCTTCTCCTTCACGTTCAGCTCTGACATCCGCCGGGGACGAGGGCCAGCCGGTACTTCTGGCTCTTCTTCTTCTTCTTCATCTGCAGTAATGAGTAGGGTAAGTAATGTAAGATTAGGGAGGGGTGAGGAGGGGCCCTTTCAGAGATACTCAAAGTAAAGAAATATGGGCCCCAAAACAAAAGTGAAAGAGTCCAAAGATGCCTTAAACTATACATAATTAAGGCCTGTAAATGTAATTGTATACTCAGCAGCAGTGCTATGTGCTAATCATATACAGCCTTGGTGAAGGGGGAGCATTGTTGCCCCCGAAACATGATGGCTGTTTTTGTTTGATCTAATTATGAAAAAATGATTCTATACATTAAGTTGCTTCCGTGAACCCAACAAGGGAGGTCTGTTTGTTATCATACCATAGCCAGTGAACTTGCAAACTTCCTTGCATTTAAACAGTTTGCACTAAATCCCGGCGCCTCTTACTTTTGTTTCTCTGGAGTTTGTAGAGACACTGTCACTTTCCTCTGCGCTGGCAAGGTAAAAATAGATAGATGTCACCAGCACAACAACAATATCAAAGTCCAAAAAGGTCATTTATTGGATCGTCATTGCTGAGCCTGAGGAAGGGGACCCTGTGTGGTCCCGAAAGCGCTAGTGTTGGTGACATGACGTTCCAATAAATTACCTTATTGGACTTTGATATTGTTGGTGTGCTGGTGACATCTATCTATCTTTACTGAGTGGCGGTGCCATCCACGGTCACTCTGGTAAGGAGTGCGATAAGGTATCTTTTTACGTTTGGCAAGGTAAAAATGTCTCCACAAGCCAGACATTTTTCTCACTTTAACTTAACCAGTTGGCATCTGCAATCATCAATCAATCAATCAATCAATGTGAAATGGGGTGAAAGGCAACTATGATGATCACTGGACGTTTGTTTGGTTTAGCTTGCAGATCATACAGCACTTCTAACTTCCTGTGGGGGAAAATGTTCAAAACTAGAGCAGACAGAATATGGAGCAGTTGTCAATGGCAACCAGTTTGCTCAATTAAGCTTTGAAAAAAAAAGTTAGAAGCTGACTGGTTGCCATGGGCAACTGTTTCAGATTTCCTCTGCTGCAATTTTGGTACGTTTCCCTCTGTGTGTCCTCACTGTGCACATAGAAAGGGATGCATTACAGTGTGTTAAAAATACATACATTCAACAAGTTTTAAAAATGGATAAAAATATGACATGTAAAATAAACAAACATTTTTGTCACAATGGGGTCTATTCACAAAGCTGCCGAAGGATCTGGCCGTAGCTTCGGCCGATCCTTCGGCTAGCTTCGGCCCTAAAAGCACGGTCATTCACTCGGCTGCCCTCGGCAGCTTTGTGAATAGACCCCAATGTCTCCATTGGTCAGCTTATAATAAAATAATTAGCAGGGTATTTATGAAAAGTGTGTACCTATACAATTTTTACATGTCCTAATTAATGACGTAGCTAGGGAAATGTTTAGTGATAGATTGATTGTCAAGTTCATGAATGCATTCCGGAGCAGCTAAATGTGGTTTGGGCATCTAGGCTTTAATGACCTCTAGTGGTGAAGGGGTTAATCTAAATTCTGCAAAATCTACTGTACAAAGAATCCAGAAAACACCCCTCAGAGTCACTGAAAGTTTCATTGCTGATACTCCTGTAACTTCCTCTACCTCTCTGCTTCCTGTATCACTATTCACACTCAGACTCCTAGGAGAGGTCCGAATCTCACCAGGTTTTCTGTATGTAAAGCCCCGTTCACCCCAGGGCGTTTCATCACGCCTTTTTTCCCCGCACTGAAACGCATGCAAATTAAAATCTCACGTATTCCTACGGGGCCAGGCAAACGTTCTGAATTGCGCCTGAGCTTCTTGTGTGTTTCTGCACTTTTTTAGTGCGTTTTTGCATCTGAGACCGCTTTTCATTGGACAACTGAAAATGAGCTGAAACGTGGCTTAAAAGTTACTACATATGGACAGAAAACATCTGTAAAACGTGCTGAAACGCTGTCGCCCTGGTGTGAATGGGGCCTCAGTAGGCCTCATTCACACGAGTACAGATCTGTGCAGCGTGCATGGCTATATCGGGCCTGCACCCTGTTCTTCTCTATGGGAGTATGCTGCCGTACGCTCAACAGAACTGCACGGGCACAGAGGTGCCCGTACTTGTACGCAGACAGGATGGATCCGTGCAGTTCGGGTGAGCGTTCGGCGGCGTACGGCCATGTACTCCCATAGAGAAGAACAGGCTACTGCGTACAAATCACACGCAGCACCTGTCCTTCCCTGGAGCGGCCCGATACGGTCGTGCACGCAGCACGGATCTGTACGGCTGTCTGTTAGTCGTGTGAATGAGGGCTAAGGGTCAGTCTGCAATGGGGGCGTGTCTGAGAACACCAGTCTTACATTGCAAGCAGGGGTACTCAGACGTTGCCAGACACTGACAACAGGGTGTGATGTGGACTGGTATACTGCATCAATGTCTGAATAGAAACCTGAATAAATAAGCAGGTAGGCGTTGTTCCCTGTATGCATACATGGATCAATGACAGAAAAATTGCATTCTCCTTTGAGAAGAGGCGCTCAAGGGATATGCAAAAAAAAAGAGGCACTTTTTGCAATGCAAGAAAAACAGGTTTGTCCTCTGCATACAGAAATGTTTCCTTACAGTAAGAGCTGTGAAAATGTTGACTTCCTCAGGAAAGCTCAGCTCAGTTAATTTCCTTCTCTTTTTTTGTGGAAAGCTGGATGTGTTTCTGAATGCACAGAATATAACCGGATATTAATATTTATAAGTAATACCACCATAGATTGCTGATCCTGGGAATATCCAATTACCTTAGAGGATCAGGAAGGAATGTCTTTTTTTTTTCGTGTTGGAGGAAATTGGATCATGCTTTATGAGGATTTTTATTTCCTTGCTCTGGACCAGGGATGGCCAAACTGCGACCCTCCAGCTGTGGTGGAACTACGAATCCCATGAGGCTTTGCAAGATTCTCACAGCCACATACATGACTCCCGGAGAGAGATGCTTCATGAGATTTGTAGCTTCACCACAGCTGGGAGCCGGAGTTTGGCCATCCCTGCTCTGGACCAACTGTAAAGCCAGGTATACACGGGACGAATATCGGCCGACTTTTCACGGTGGGTGTCGCTGTCGGAACCCTTTCACATGGCATCCCTCAATCAGCTGACTGAAGGAGCCGGTTGGAAAATTATCTGCCAATCAGCTGCTAGCGCCATACAGGTCTTCTGACAGCTGCCAATACACTGCAGACAGCAGGGGATTCATCCATTAACGATTGTAAGCCCGTAGGTTGAACGAAAAAAATAGAGACATGCATACCCAGCTTAAGTTTAGCATTCTATATGTGTAGGTTTTCAACGTATTTATTTATCTTTCTATTGGTTGAACTCTATAGGAATGAGTCTTTATTGAACCTGACTAACTATGTAAAACAGAAATTGTAATACCTGGCTCTGTATGTTGATTTTCGTCTTCGTTTTCTTCATCAACATCAACCTAAAAAGGAGAAATAAACAAAAACGATTTACCCATTTACCTCCTGACTCGTACAGTATGTTATTCCAGGTCCACAGGTAACTAACCCTCCCAACTTTGCATATAACAGCTACCTATATGTATAGTCAACTTCATCCCTCGGTTTATGTTTAGCATGTGCCCTGGGATGTATACTCCCAACTCATCCCTCATCATCTGCAAGATGCAGGGAACAGAACCAGGTATTGAGAAAGATGTCACATTATCAATGGCCACCTCATAGTGAAAGGGAAATAGCAAAAAGCAGTGTAGAAGACAGCGGCGGCAAGGGATGGAACGGTGACTGATGGCCTGGTAAGTAAGTGTGCCATAATGTGCAATGTGTTGTGCATACTTGCATATTATGGCAAGAGCCCACTCCCCACAGCAGACTTAAGATCTACTTTAAAGGGCACCTGTACCGAAATATAAAAAAATCATATTTTGTTATGTTATAATGGTTGAAAAGTCCTTTAGGCAAAAACCAAATAAAACCTTTGTGAAAGAAAAGTCCTTAAGGCCTCATTCACATTGCGTTAACTCGGGCCGTACATGTCCGTGCGGCGTGCTCGCCCGCGTCGGGCCATTCCCGGGAGGCACAGGAGCTGCGTGTGCACGCAGCAGCCTGTTCTTCCCTATGGAAGGACACGGCCGTGCGCTATCATGCGCTCACCCGAACTGCACACTCGTGCGGGTCAGGGTGTTCGTGCTTGGACGCAGAGAGGATCCATCTGCACGGATGTGCAGTTCAGGTGTGTGTACGAACGCATCCTCCCATAGGGAAGAACAGGCTGTTACACAGCAACTGTCACTCCTGGGAACGGCCCGATACGGGCGTGCACAACACATGGATGAGTACAGCCCGAGTTAAAGCAGTGTGAATGAGGCCTAAAGGGAATATATCGTGTTTTACTCCGTTATTAGTTATTATTTTACTATTTATTTTTGGTTATTTTTTAGTATTTTAGTTATTTTACTATTTTATTATTTACTTAGCTATTATTTTGAAGACTACAAATTTCACTGCTAGATTTCTTTAATTCAGCCCCCCAGGCTCACCCATCCACACTAAACAGCATGAATGGAGGAATCTCCACTGCTGGCTATTGTATAAAGCCAGCATTGAGGGCTGTCTAAATCAACAGTGATTGCACTGGATTGGATGCAATTCAGCTGACAATTTCCAACCAGCTTCTTTGATTGTGAAACCAAATTTATTTCAGCTGGGTGGTGACAGCCCATGGCTTCACTTTCAGCAAAGATTTGAGCCATGTATGGCCAGCATTATCAGAAAGGTGCTCTAGGCTTCTTATGTTTAGCAGACCGATCCTAAAGTATATCTTAAAGGGTTTCTAAACCCACAGCTTTTTTTGCATATATCTACTGCTAGCAAGCAGTAGATATATGCTAAAAGTTGAAAAAAAACACCAAAAACGCTTTAACAGCGGTTTAAACTTACCTGCGTCTTCCCTGCGCGCTCTCGTCCAAAAATGTGAAACTGCACGGGCGGCCGCAAAGCATCTTGGAGCGGGCGCATGCACAGTTCACATTTTCGGCCGGGACGCGAGGAAAGACACAAGGTAAGTCTATGGACGCGTGCACCCGCATGCAGACACCATTGGAGAATACGTCCCAGCAAGCTCAGAGAAGTTAGCGCCGGATCGGAGATTCGCCGCAGCGCTGGAGAGAAGGCTGAAAACTACAGGAAAGAAGATGATCGGATTAAAAGACATCATTAAAGGGGGAAAAAAATTTGCCTTTAATGTCACTTTAAGTCAAATCTTAATTTTTTAGGAAAAGTGAGGTTTCTTTTCTGGTGTTTGAGTCCCATTAGGATGATTTCCCTTCACTTCCATTCCCAGAGACACAAGAAAAAGAGGGAGGAATTCCACCCATAGTGAGAGGAAATCCCTAATAGAAAGTTGTCATAGGAACAATATACCTTCACCTCCTCCTCTGATGAAGGTGGATATAGGGAGGAAAGGCCTCAGAGACTAATGTGGTTAAATTATGCACAAGGGTCTTCTAGATCTCAATTACATGATGAGGGTATTCCAACTCCCACTGATAAAAATGTAAGCACTTGGTAAGTATCCTGGCAACTGCCTTTGAATGGCACTGTACAGGTTGAGTGGTCCCTCTTCAACGTCTCTTTAATACACTTCAAAACTCATGTTATTCATAAACAGTGTTACCTTTGCATCATTTGCCTTTTTCCGGTCATTATCTGCCTTTTTTATTTCTTTGTTCTCCAGACTTTCTTTCCTAAAAATGTAATCCATGTTTATTTTTTTTCCTCTAGAGCACACAAAAAGATAAAATAACACTGCAGTATTAATGTTTACAAGTAAAGAAATCAGGTAAAGTTGTATGGGGAGATCTATATGTATGTCCTTCAGTAGCTCTACTCATACCGACCAGTATATACATTAAACAAATGTTTAGTTTTCGATAGAGTGTAGATGGGCAGGAACCCCTATTAGGTGTTTATTGCTCTGTGTTATTTTATTTGTCCTGGTGACCACCTTCACTGAAACAAAGTGATTGGAAATTGGAAAACAAAAGTGACAGTAAAATTCCTGCCGGTGACAATAAAGGGTCCCGTCTTCTCATCTGAACATGTTGAGTTGGTGATATCTTGGATTGGGGCTCCCTGCCAGTGACAATAAAGGGTCCTGTCTTCTCATCTGAACATGGTGTACTGGTGATATATTGGATTGCTGCTTCCTGTTGGTGACAATAAAGTGTCCCATCTTCTCATCTGAACACGGGGTGCAGGTTATATATTGGATTGCTGCTTCATGTTGGGGACAATATTGTGTCCCATCTTCTCATCTAAATATGGTGTGCTGGTGATATGTTGGATTGCTGCTTCCTGTTGGTGACAATAAAGTGTCCTGTCTTCTCATCTCAACATGGTGTGCTGGTGATATATTGGATTGCTGCTCCCTGTTGGGGACAATAAAGTGTCCCATCTTTTCATCTAAACATAGTGTGCTGATGAAATCTTGGTTTGGGGCTTACTGCTGGTGACAATAAAGTGCCCTGTCTTCTCATTTGAATATGGTGTGCTGGTGATATATTGGATAGCTGCTTCCTGTTGGGTACAATAAAGTGTTCTTCCTTCTCATATGAACATAGTACACTAGTGATATCTTACCTTAATGCTGTATGGAGTGTGATGGACTTCTTGCATTTACTGTCTGTGACTGGTGTCTCCAGGCAACTTTGATCTGCAGTGCTGATTCTTGGTCTACACCATCTTTGACATTTTAATTTTATTGAATGTTCTGCTTCTCTTCTGGTGGAAATGTTCAGGGTTTCTACAGTAGCAGTGGCTGTGACCTTTTTATTGTAAGTACAACTGATCTATTTAGTCAATATAACAAGGATGATGGCATGCATTATTTCAGTTTGGATTAGTTTTTGTTGTTGTTCATAGTGACCATCAGCCATCATCAAGCTCGTTCTAAAGCTGTGTAGAACGAGTGCCTTCTGGTCTTTAGCATAAATTGTATCCCCATATCAACTAAACTGTATTTTTGGACCAATTCATACAGGATTGAATGACTATCATTAAAGCATGCAGACATGCAATATTTGGCACCCAAAGCAATACTCATCTCTTAAACACAGAACAACTTCTTTTTTTTACTGACCCAAATCCTTAGAGCCTTAGAGTTTGTGACAATGTGTTAATCAGCTAATATGTATTGATAGTGGGAAAAGCCGCCTGTTTGTTTCTGCCGCCTATAGGCACAGGCCTTCTGTGCCTAATGGTAAACTAAGTCCTGGTTTTACACCTTGTTTGCTTCTGTTCATTACTGTTAGGGTGATCGTTCTCTGTGCTTTTTCATGTTAGCTATAAAGAATATTAATATAACAAGAGTTCTGCAGCTCCAGTTTCAGCTGATATAAATAGTGGGTGCTGGAAATGTCACTGCTGAATAGTTTGGCACTTAGTAAATTAATGATAATTACAATAATCATCTATACAAGTCATAGGAGGTATCATTTTCCCTTCTCAGTGGCACTTCAGCTGAATAACCCCTACAAAACACAGGTACCATTTACAGCTCTGCGATATGGCAAACCTGAGGCGGGAAGTCGGTTAATACCATTATTCCCACCTGCGGATCAGGGGTAAAGAAAAATCAGAGCAGATCATTTACATGCTGCTTCTAAGCTGTGTAATTCCTATCAAGTTCGGCAGCGTAGAGCCCCAGAGAGTCTCTGAAGAGATTACCCGAGGCTCAGGGAGATAACACAGTCAGTATAAGGTCACAGCAGAGGGGGACAGCTGTGTGTAAGAACAAAGCTTACTTTCTTTGGGATCTGTTGCCTGGTCGCTACGCCTTCTGATTACAAGCTGATATAAAATATGATGTATATGCAATGAGAGCTGCACAGTTTAGTCTCTACAGGGGTCTCATTTTCATATGCTACTCAGCCATGATTTAAACAAATTATCTCAATGGAACAAATTAGGGTGGGTTCAAAGGCAAAACGCATGAAACTGTATACTTTCAAAGAACATTGCAAGTAGTGAACAGCTGCTTCCCTTTATACAAAATTAAAAGATCAAGCCACCTGAAAATTATCTTTATTGTTATTTATTATAGGTGGAATCTGTTGGGCTGAGTCAAACCCTGGCTTCTTGTATGCCTTGGATACTCCAACAGTGAGATTTCTCTGCCATAGCTACCAACTCTGTTCCTTTCACCTGAGAGTTTTGTATTTACCCATCCAGCTTTATATGTTCCTGCACCTGTGCTTCAGTATCTGCAACCTAAAATAAACAAATAATTCTGAAGGTAGAGCGGGAACCCCTAATAATTAACATAGTAGGTGTGCAGACATGGGAACTCAGCACGGAGATCTCACCACAGACCTGAGATATATAAAAGAAACTGTCCAGAAGATGAACTTCCCAACCTCTACCAAAAACTGAAATATGAGTTTTAGAAGGAATGGCACTTTAATGTGTCTATTGTTATTGGATGACAGTTTAAGGCCCCTTTCACACATTCTGATCAGGAGGGGATCGGTAATCAGAATGTATTGTACTGACAACAAATACAGCAAGGGATCTATCCCTTCACAGCTGTTAAAAAAAATAAAAACTGACATTTTTTTGACTAGAGCTTCAGTTCAATAAAATATTGGTATACAGTGGTACCTCGGTTCACGAACGCTTCTGTTCGCTAACAATTTGGTAATTGTTTTTTGGTAATTTGGTGGAAAGTTTGGCAAAATTTTGCTTCCTGTTCGCGAACTCCGCATCGGGTGACGAACACAACCGCAGCCATCTTCCCTGCTCTGACACATGGTCGTGGCTTCCTCTAGTCGAGATCGCGGTCTGATCACAGTTTGATTCGGGTTCAAGACCAATTTATTCGTGGAACGCATTAAGTTCATGAACCGAGGTATCACTGTATACTGATTTCATTTGAGTAATAAAGGTACGGTCACCCAAGACATAGGTCTCCAGCCATCTTTGTTTCCTTCAACACAGTCCCCCCACAGCTCCCTTAAAGCTGTTGAAAGAAAACCAAATAACTGATTTCTTCTTTAAATAATGACAATAGCTTTTCTATCATAAAACCTTTGTGATCAAAGAAAATTTCAGCTATAAATTTTAGCCGTTATTTTGCTTCTCATATTTACAATTCAGCATGCAAAAAATCCTGATTTCTGTACAGTAATTGTCTTTGTAAAGTGTCTGAAAGCAGGAACAAAAGTAAATGCTCTAAAAATAACAAAGAATAAAGCACCTCTGTTGATTCCCTCTCATTGATTCATGAGCTAACCTAGAGAGCATCAACATCTAGAAGAATCATGGGGATTCTCTATGGTTTAACTCAAGATGTAGTCATGCCTGCAGAACTTTATTCAGAAAAAGAAGAGAATTAGAGCTGGTTGTGAGCCATGTACAGGCTCCTGGAGACAGCAAAAGAAAATGAACATGTTTAATGTTATATATGCTTGAGGTTTTAAAAAAGCTTATGCCACAAACTAGACTGGGAGTCATCATAAGTGAAAAAGCCACATACTACTCAAGGCTATTTAAGTGGGAAAATAAAAGATATTTGTGAAATAATAAGGCTGTTTACAGGAATTACAGAAACTGAAGGACAAACTCTTTTCTGTTTGAGAAGAATTACTATTTGCTGTATTGTAATATAACACACGGTACCTTGCACTTTTTTTCTTCTCCTTTTCCTCGGCTGCCTCCTTCTGAGCAGTGTTTAGGCTTTCTGCATCTGCCAAGTTATCCACAGCAATGGCCAAGAAGACATTTAGTAGAATATCTGTTTTTCAAAGGTTCAAGGAAGTAACCCTTTCAATCTTTAGTCTATTTGTCCAAGGGCTTCAATAAACAAAGCAAAACCACCATTTGCAAACATTATCCTAAACGTTTAGAGTCTAAAGGAGAACTATGGGGTTAGGGCTTTTCCCCATAGTTCTCCTAAGGGTAACGGGAGGATACAAACTAGCGTCCTCCCGTCAGCCAAAGCTCAGTATACCGCGAGCTACAGCTCGTGGTATACTGAGACGCCGCAGCTGAAACGGATACCGACAATTATGTCTGGATCCGCTCAGCTGCGTGAGTATCTAGAGGCAGAGCCAGCTGTACCCGCCCCCTCTCCTGCCCATTCCGCCAGTCAGCGCTGGAGGATCTGACAGGGGAGGGGGGAATCCAGTCCGTCCCCTGTCACGGCTCTCTGCAGTGACAGGATCGAGAAGTGAGCGAGCGCCGGTATGTGCTCGCTCACTTCCCGATCTACTGAGCCAACCTGTGATAGTTTTATTGTCACAGGTCGGCTAGAACTATGAGGATGAGTGAAAATCATCACTCACCTCATAGTTCTCCTTCAAGTGATACCTGAACGCAGACTGTTTGTGACATTAAACTCCAAACTTTCTGAACTAATTGATTGATAACACTCTGATACCGTAAACAAAAGCCAATAGTCCTGCATTGTACGTGAGGATGGTGAGGGACTTGAAGGAGTAGAGTGCCAAAGCCTTCCAGACAGAGGAGTAAGGTAAGTAATACAGCCTTTTACTCTACTCCCCTAGAGTTAATGAGTATTTAACCCAGGGAGTGCAGGGAAGGGGAGTGGGCACTGCAAGGGTAGTTTTTGTGTAATCTGTGAAGTTGGGCCTCAATCAGTTTTGATGAGCTAAATATCTGTGAGATCTGCAACATGGTACAGATGTATAAACTGGTAATCCAGTCAGGAGTTAGAAACACCAGTTCCTATGCTTGCAACATAAGGCTGAAGATCTCCGGTAATACTTTCGGGCTCGTTGGATTCCTGATCCCCCTATGCGCTTTGTAGTTACTTCTGCTGGCCCCTACATCAATACAGGACACAATAGTGACATAAGGGCCAGCAGATGAAACAAAGGCATACAGCAAGGGACCAGGCATCCCACAGCCCGGTAGTGTGCAGATACTAGTGTAGAAACTAATAGAACTAGAAATTAGTATAGTGCTTGAAGATTGCAGAGACCAGGGTGCAGGCATTTGGAGCAGCATTAACCCTTTCCTTTGCAGGAAAGTCATTTAAAAAAAATAGCAACAGAGTTCCTTTAAAGTACTTTAATTTAAAAGCATCAAGAAGCAAAATACCCATTATGGAAGGCTTTGTTGGAATCAGCAACTCCCAACATAACAGAAAACAGACAGGACGTCACTGCCAAAGGACTTGTATACAGTATGTATGTGTTGGCAAATTGCTACAGCCCAAATGTGAGTTGCTCCTTACAAACACCTTATAATACACATGAGTATCTACCTACACCTGTGAGAAGCATACACTAATGGTGCAGCCTAGAGTTGGAAAAAACAGTTCAGAAAAAGTCACTGTGGTTGTTATTTTGGAAGGATACAATTACCGCAGATAAACAGTATGATAAAGTATACACAGACAATCATTCCTGAAGATGCTGGCCCTCCATAGGCTATAATCCCATCATACATAACAGCATTCCAGTCTTCTCCCGTTAGTATCTAAAAAAACATAATCATAGTTGATTATAATATGATCAATGTCTAAAGATTCCTCAATAACAAATATTTTGTTGAAGACCATCTCTAGCCAAACAAGTGAAAAATTGCATTACTTAATTCATGTATTGCTGGGCAGGAACCATTAAAACTAAAGATTGCAGCTTCTTGTAACATTATGGTATAGAAGCATCCTCCTTCAAAAGTATACTTTGTACCCAACACTTCCAGTAGTCTACAGTAGGGGGATAAGGACTGTTAATAGCTTATTTCTGAATGATCACTGGTTAGAAGGCAGTGGGCCTGGCTCATACATCTTTGCAAAGAAGCCCTGACAGGTGTATTAAGTATCCCAATCTCCAGATTAGCTGTTCAATGAACCCCAGATTGTCAGGAACCATGGGCTTACCTAGTACACCTAAGCCTAAACTCCAAGAAGTAAAACGTTGTACGGATGTATTTAAAATGCAACTAGTGTAAATTCCTGATTTTTTTTCTAGATACAAGCCTCATGCAATGCCCTATGTAGCAGAAATTGGACTGGGAAAGGCAATACCTGGAGCCAATCCAGTGTTCTGCAATGCACCTGTGCTAAAAGGAACTATGCTGACAGGAGGAGACAGTACAGTGAGTAGAGGGATGTGCTTATCAGCATGTCATTGCTTCTTCACTATCCATTTATAGCCTGGGGGCATGGAGGTGACCTAACCGTATTGCAAAACTGAAGTAGAGAAAAGTCAGGTCACTATCTGTTTCCACTGTCTGGAAGAGCTGAGTAAATACTAAGCCTGGATGGATGTAAACACGAAACCTTAGGCAGGTAAAATATCTCCTTTACATGTTTTTCAACATTGTATTTAGTAGTTTACCTGGAATTTAGCTTTAAAGGGAAACTATATCGTTTTTGAGGAAGCTTTCAAGAACCAATTTCTTCCCCTGTTAGAGTAAATTGGCTCATGCCAGGTCTAGGTCAACTGCAGGTTTATTCGCTGCCTGTCTACTTATTGCAAGAGAGACAGAAGCAGGTGAGAAACCTGAGGCACAAATGTTCCCCTGTTGCCCCTACAGGGTACTACTACCTTAGGCAATGTTTATCTTACTTTTTGACAGGTATGCCTTCCATATGGCTCCTATGAGGACTGATACATCCTGCAAAGAATATTATCTCTATAGTACATTACAGAGTAGTAATCCCATACTGGTTCTTGTAAACATAAGGTCATAAGGCAACGGCTGTTGACAAGAGCTATTCTTACTCTGCATTGATGCTTTGTTTGTGTTTATAGCTAATTACCTCTATGATCTTTCATCCTTTGTGCAACCCATGTGAATTCAAAACCATTGTGTTGAGGAGGAAAATATGAGAACAGGCTAAATAAACTCAAGCTTTGTTTCACTAAATAGACATCTCACATAACAGTAGAATAACATAACGAGTGAGACAATCGAGAGTTATGGGACTAAAAAAGACCAGGAATAGTAATGTGGCTATAAAAAGAAAGCTATTTCGTGTTTGCTCTTTCAGAGTCAGTAAATGGCTCTAAAAATACGTAAATGTGCATCGGTGTATATTTAACATTAGCACTGAATTAGTGGTATTAATATGTGTGCTATGATGTTATCTTGAATAAAACAACATCAGTCTCTAGGAATAGATGGTAATAGGAATTTAAAAAAAACCCATAAAGCTATTTATAGCAAAAGTAAAGCAGTATTCCTACAAAATTGCTAAATACCAAGGACAGATATAGAGAACAATACGGACAAGAAAATCCATTGAGATTGATTTATAAAGTCAAAGTAATGAGGTGTCATCCATAGCAGCCAATGGCTTTTGAGCTTTAAAGACAAACAGACTAAAGGCAAAAAAATACATTGCCTTGCTAAAACAAAAATTAAGATTATTCCTTTTGGAATATACTGTATCTGCACAGATCAGATATTTGGCGAGCCGTTTGCCCTATGCCCTCTATTTCTCAGCCTCACTTCTGGGGTACAGGGTCACACAGGAGGCTGATACAAAGACAGATTGCATGCACGTATACAGTACATGTATACATGTAAAGATCCTTTAATAGAGGTTAAAAGGATTTAAAGGTGGCTTTTTAAAGTTTCCAATGGTTCAGGATAAATGGTTTATTAGTAGAAAGTAATATGATTTGTGGTCAATTAATATCATTTCAAAACACAATAATAATAGTATGAACTCATAAAACTATGACTGGTACCTGGAATACGGTCAGAAGAGACTGAGGAAAGTTATCAAAAGTGCTTCTTTTCGTCTGTGTCTCATCAAAGTTAAATTTGCCACCGAAGAGTTGCATCCCCAGCAATGAAAAGATGATGATAAAGAGGAACAGCAGGAGTAACAAAGAAGCAATGGATTTCATGGAGTTTAATAATGATGCTACAAGATTGCTGAGTGAAGCCCAGTGCCTGGAAAAGAAACAGAAAACACATTAACCAACAAAAGAAAGAAATAAAGAAAATCTAGCATTTCTCCTTTGACAGCTGTATTTGGAGGGAGGCCCGGGTAGTACTAAAGGGGCTCCAATTAAACATCTTGATTGATATATCCGTCATAATAGTAATAGAGACATACCAAGAGAAGGAGGGAGTCAAGTATTTGGTACAGGCAGTAAGAGGGTGCACTGCACTGTTTGTGTTCAGGCACTGTCAGGTTGAATGATCACATGCCTGCAGGTGCCTGCATAGTTCCAGCACTGATGTCACTAAGCAGATCCAGCAGTGCCAGTCTACTGGAGGTGCCTGCATAGTTCCAGCACTGATGTCACTAAGCAGATCCAGCAGTGCCAGTCTAGTGGAGGTGCCTGCATAGTTCCAGCACTGATGTCACTAAGCAGATCCAGCAGTGCCAGTCTACTGGAGGTGCCTGCATAGTTCCAGCACTGATGTCACTAAGCAGATCCGGCAGTACCAATCCAGTGGGGGTACCTGCATAGGTCCAGCACTGGTGTCACTAAGCAGATCCGGCAGTACCAATCCAGTGGAGGTGCTTCCTGTCTCTCTAAACTAAGACACCAATGATATTTTAGCTGACCCAAGCCAATCAAAACAAATGATTCCAGCCAATTGAGAAAGCAAGGATGATGTCACGATATTCAGACAGACTGAAGATCACATACTGCAAGTACTCAGCCTTCTGAAAATGTAGATTGTTACATATCGAAGGGAGCTGTAGTATGAGATATGAGAGGGGAAAGGGCTTACAACAGCCTCTACACACAGTTACTGTTAGAGTGGATAACAAGAGGAATGGCATGGACCACTTTATAAAGTCAAATAAGGTGAGTTTAACAGAACGCACTTGCTGGTCATACTTGTCAGGTTACCTGGTGACTTTAAAAATTCTCAGAAGTCGGACACATCGAAAGACAGATATTCCAAGAGGGGACATGATCTCCAGCTCCACCAAGATGGTTTCAGTTATGCCTCCACACACCACGAAGCAGTCAAACCGGTTGAAGAGAGAGACAAAGTATGCCTGAAGGCCAAGACTGTACATCTTCACCAACATCTCACAGGTGAAGCAGGCAAGTAGGACCTTATTTGCTATATCTAGAAGACAGACATTTGGTGAGAATAGCCTGAAATTCTATCACTATAATTCTAATGTATGCAATTTAATTCCCAATTTCTGCTATGTCAACTATCTGACTGTGCAAGTGTGCAAAACATGTGTAACATAGCTGTTACCAGATCACATAGTGTGATAGCCCTCTGTCCCGCCCTCCAAACTGTGCTCCTTTGTGGTCACTATCATACAGGATAGGGTTTACATCTACTTCAATGCCTCTGGCCCCGGGAAGGGGGGATAATGCTGACAAAAAACTAGGCGGGTATCACACACTGTTCTATGGTTTACATAAACTATATTTTCTTTAGTAACATTTAATACTTTTGATCTTCTGTTCATACATTGATTGATTCTTCTACATACATTCAACTCATAAGTTAGACATATACTGTAGAAGTATTATACCTTGTATCTGTGTGAGCCAATTCGGTTGGTTATAGTGCTCAGAGGAGATGGTCAGAGTGTTGAGAAAGACTAAGATTATAACCAGCCAGTAAAAGGAAACAGATTTCACTGCGGCCCTGCACCTTCTTCTGTTGAACCGGTTCCATCGACGCCAGCGCCGACTACAGAGAGATCATCACAAAATTATGTAAAATAACAGTTGGGAATATGTATTAAAATGTAAGCACTGAAAGTAAATTATGATGAAGACATCTTTATCATGTAATATATTTTATGTTTACATACCTGAATTTAGACTTGGATAGTGACTGACTAAAATAAAAACAAGACATAAATATGAGATACAGTAACGTTTTTCCAGCTAGACAAATTCACATCTAACCTGACATCGTCACTATATGACCCAGTGAGATTTAAAAGAAAACCTCAGACGGTTTTGGATAAAGTAGAGAGGTTTAGAAGCTCTGGGAGGATGTTATCAGTGTCTATCTGAGGGGATTTCTTATCACTTCCTGTGTAGTCACTAAAAAGCCAACTAGGAGGTTACATAGTTACATAGTATTTGAGGTTGAATAAAGACATTAGTCAATCAAGTCCAACCTATTAGGATCTCATTCTAGGAGTACCCGTACCCCTAATACTTACAGGTTCTTTCCAAATGGAACTCAGCAATAATTTTGGTAGTGTACAGATGGCTTAAAGTGATATTAAAGTCAAAAGGTATCACTTACAATTGATGCTTGATGTTTAGAAGTTTTAATTCCTGCAGAATCAGCTGGTCTCCTGAACACTGGCCCTGATTTAGGGGGGCTCCTTTCCCATGCATGGTCCTACACAGGAAGTGAAGCTAAATTTCCCCAATAGTACACAAACAGCAAAAAAATAAATTTGCAGAGGTTCGAACTATTCCACACTCTATCCAAAACTAAAGAAAGGATAATGCAACTTACAAGTCCTTAGATATAGTGGCTGCATTATTTTCTTTTTCCACTTTTTTTGCCTGGTGATATATAATGCATTACCTGCACTAGGGTGACAATGCTGACTCATTATACTGTATCCATACAGAAGCAGAGTTTTCTCCATAGGACAAGACTACAACAACTTTCCTTTCTACATAACAGAACGGACAGGTTCTGCAGTACTTAAGTGAAAACTATGTAACAGATAACAGTCAGCACTAGCAGAGAGCACAGGAAGTTATCACCTGGGGGGATCAAGGGATTCGTTGGCACTTATTGCAAAAATATAATCAAAAGCTTTCAATGTTATATTGAAGGCCCAAAAGGGAGAAAATAAGAGAATTAATTGTTAGGGTTTACTTTACATACACTTTTAGAGATTATTTCTGACTGGCTATATGAATAAATCTCATAGCCAGTTCAAACCAAAGGATGAAAGTGATGATTCATGTATGAATCAGAAAACCATATAATGAAAGAGTCACGTTTCCCAAAAACAATATCTCAGTAATAGGTGACCTCTGGCGGGCTGAATTCCTCTCTTTTGTCTTAGGTTTCTTAGGAACTCCGGCACTGAAATGTTCCACCAGTTTCTACTGACTGCACTTCTGCCCCATAATGTCTAACATGTTGCATAACCTAAATTAAATTATAATATCCTGTTGTCTGTAATGTAATATGTCATATCATGTCCAATAGGCAGAACGCAGGCTGAACAAGCAGCTCAGGTAAAGATATTTTAAAATGAAAGATAAGCTGCCTGGCCAAAAAAAAGTCACCACCTGGAAAAATGAATGCAATTCTGGATGGAAATAAATGTTTTAATTGTAAAATTTAAATGTAAATTTTGACTTTCTTCTTTTGGCCAGGCAGTATATAAAAATGGTAAAGTGTAATCTAGCCTCAGTATCTGTCAAAAACTGAATCAAGTTTGGGAGGAAATGATCTTTGAAATGTGATATCATGCTGTCACACTAACAAAAAAGCCCAGTTAAGCCCTTTTAAAACTGATTATTTAAAGATCAGTAATGTACTTTAGCCTGCCAAAAAAACAGTCACCGTATATCTCATTTAAAGCAATAATCCATTTTACATTTGACACGTACATCTTAGATGTAAACAGGTTACCAAGATCAATAAGACAATGACTAAATTATTACAAGGATGCAGATGATGACTTGGTCAGATCACAGGAACTAGATGATGCTTGATTGAGTCTCTATGTTACAGAATACTGCATACACATAATAAATGTTTATCATACAGCAGAGGCTCCTCTACCTGTCCACCTGGCTTTATACTGGAGGAACAATAGCGATCACATTGGAAAATCTGTTTAATGGCTTTTGCCTGCAAGATCAAATAGTAAGGGGTATCTACCCCAATGTAAAGGTCTTGACCTTCAGGTATTGTAAAGGAAAAAAACTTTCCAAACTCACCACACACTGCCGCAACACCCACCGCCTTCTCCTTCTGCAACAGCATTTTCAGTATTTACTGATTCCGTCTCACTGGTTGGCATGCTCGCTGTACAAGAAAAAATACCCCTTTACATTTTGGTAAAATATGTATAATTTACTCATGCTGCAAATTGGCTCTGTGACAATGCAAACAGGAATACCCTACAAGGTGGCTGTAGAATTTTTTTTGTCTTCATCAAGCTGAACCTATGATCTTATTCCAGCAAAAACAACTCGTTCTTTTACATGCCGATAGGAGGAGTCACCCACATGCATCTTATATCTGGAGTTCTCAACTCTGCCTACCTACTGAGCCATGGCAGACGTCTCACTCTCACATATATGGAATCTATTAACCATACAGACAACCAGTGGATGAATGCTTTAGCCCATCTTTGTCAGATCACAGGTTTTCTACTATCCACTGACCACCTTTATGGCTTTCCAAAGCTAGAAGATGCTCATGAAGCTTGATGTCCATGTACATGAGCGCTAAGTCATGCTAAAGAGCTCCGTTGGGGTCAGCACAATGTTATTAGTTATAAATCTTTACAATGAACATAACTTAAAGGAAATCTCTGCAATAAGTGTAGCAATGTGCTGTGGGCTCTGAGGCTTAACTTTTGTTTGGAGTGAATCGTTTATGAAGGCTGAGCTGGAGAAGTATCTTCTTGCTGGAGAGAGTCGCAGAGTAGCTGAGAAAAGCTGCCATGTGGACATAGTAAAAACAGGAAGTTGACATTGAGGAACAGAAGTTGGTGAGCTAAAAGGACTGTGACTGCTCTTACAGGGTCATAAGATTTCCTGGATGTTCTCTGTTTCAAGAATCTATTTTTGGTCGCTCTCATGGGACCTGATGCAAATACTGTTGCTACGGGAGAATATATTGTCCTCTATTTCTGTGTTTCCGGGTATCTTGCAAGCCTAGGCACTCTCTCCTGAGTTTTATATAACTGTGTTGCTGGAGCTGAAAACAGGGAAAGTAACTGCTAAAAAGCTAGGAGGATTCAAAATTACCGGTGGCTCCTTCAGTTGTCATCGCTACATAGGAAACTTGTAGAATCAATGCAGACCTCTCCAGCCGAACATATTAGTTGCCTGGCTGTCTTACTACTCTAATGGCTTCAATATTCCTACGTTCCTGATCCAAAACAAGCATACATATCAAGAGTCAAGGCTTTGCAGTGACTTCACACGCTGCATACTTGTTCTTTGTCAGTGACTCACAAAGCATTTAAAGCTGAACTCCAGCTAGTTTTGTTTTGTATTCACTACCCAGCTGGCATAAAAACAAAAAATAAGCAGATCTCACAATACTCACCCTCTCACCACAGCTGTCCCCTGCAGACTTACCGCTGTGTAATCCAAGGTCGGTCCTCTTTCAGGATGAATGACAGCCAATGTGGGGAGAGCAACAAAACTAGAGTTCGGCTTTAAGTTGTTAGATCAGCATGGCAGTCATGGAAACTGGCATTTCCAGTACTAGGTCAGCAATAGCAGCATATTTCTCTCAGCAGAGAGTGCCTTTAGGATTACTCCTAGCAAAATCAGCATTCTATCTTCTCATAAGGGCACAGCATATCACACAGCACAGCAAACACACTGCAGTTCAGGTATATATAGAATAATATTGTACCACCATTGCGAAATTTAAATGTATACTTTGCACTGCACAAACGTTACATGCCCTTATCAACACAGAAAGTTACACAACTGTAAATAGGAAATGGGTTATAGATGCAGTTATTTAGAACTAAGCTCACATCAGTATTGATGATGTACAAATAAGGTAGCCAGACAGACTAGAAACTGTATATAGACCAATTGAAAAGAAAAACAACAGTCCGAGAGAGAGAGAGAGAGAGAGAGAGAGATAGAGAGAGAGACAGAGAGAGAGACAGAGAGAGAGACAGAGAGATAGACAGAAAAAGAGACATGGAGAGAAACAGATAGAGAGAGAGACACAGAGAGACAGAGACATAGAGAGAGACAGAGAGAGAGAGACATAGAGAGAGACAGAGAGAGAGAGACAGAGAGAGAGACAGAGAAAGAGACAGAGAAAGAGACAGAGAAAGAGACATGGAGAGACACAGAGAGACAGAGACATAGAGAGAGACAGAGAGAGAGAGTCAGAGAGAGATAGAGAGACAGGTTACATATTTTATACACACGAAAGACAGACAGGTAGATGGGGCTCATGGATGTTAGGTTAGTTCAGAGTACTTTCTTACCTTGGTAGCAAAATGTGATCATCTTTATTTAAAAAAATATATATATTTTTTTCTTTAGTGGTCAATGTATGCTGAAATTAGTATGTTGCAATTAGTTAAAGAATATCCATTTTATTCCAGTCACTGAATTGCCTTAAAGTGACATTAAACCCTCAGATTTTTTAACATAAACCAATACTGTAATGTGTGCCTTACTGTAATCCATGGTTGTTTCCCTTCTCTTTGCTGCTCTTCCTTTTAAATCCTCATGTCTTCTCATGCTTGGGGAGAACTTCCCTTTTCAGCTCAGGGCCTCTTCCTGTAGCGCTGGCTCAGGTTACAAGCCTATAGAAACGTATACACAGACACCGTGTATCCATTCCAGAGACAAGGCAGTCTGCTGCAAAACAGAAGTTCTGCCCAGCATGAGAACAGATACAGATTTAAAAGGAAGAGCAGCAAAGGGAAGAGAAACAACCATGGATTACAGTAAGGCACACATTACAGTATTGTTTTATGTTAAAAAATCTGAGGGTTTAATGTCACTTTAAGCTTACCTCTTAAAGTGTATTTTGAAGTACAAAATCATATATCAATTTCCACATTGATTTTACATTATTTGTAGCCTACTATCAATTTGAACAACCTTAAAGTTTGGAAACGTACTTTTTGAAGAATCCCACATATTTACTTCCTTGAAAGCAGTGACACATATTCACTATACCCTGTAAATATGCCCTGCTGCATCACCCACAGAGCTTGATGTCTGAACTACAGAGGTACTGAAGAGGAGAAAGCTTTCCAGAGGTTGTAAAACTTTACAATAATAAAATGAGGTCTAAAGTAAGCCTTACATCCGGTTGGATGCCCAATGAACTGCCATAGTGGGGGTATCAGCTTTAATGCATACAATTCCGCAAATACCCATAGGCTCGATTTCATTGCAAGTTACATGTGAAAAAAACAGCCATCTGTTGGTGTCACTAGTCTCCACTACTGGTATGAAGGTAGCTACAGAAGGTTTTGGTTTTAGGATAAAGCTGGCTATACAGGTACAATACGGCTGTTCAATCTCCTTTAGATTAACTAAAGCTATGAAATACTGTAGGAGGGTCTACCTAATAGTCCTTTCAATTTATAACCAATCAGGCAGTCCTTTATACTATGTAGTTCTTTGGAGGTCTAAAGGAGTATGTACAATCAGACTGTACCGTGTATGGGGACCCTAAAACCAGAAAGACCACTATGTTCAAAAAATAAAACCCTACTTATATAAAACAAATGTCAATAAATAGA